ATATATATATATATATATATATATATATATATATATATATATATATATATATATATATATATATATATATATATATATATATATATATATATATATATATATATATATATATATATATATATATATATATATATATATATATATATATATATATATATATATATATATATATATATATATATATATATATATATATATATATATATATATATATATATATATATATATATATATATATATATATATATATATATATATATATATATATATATATATATATATATATATATATATATATATATATATATATATATATATATATATATATATATATATATATATATATATATATATATATATATATATATATATATATATATATATATATATATATATATATATATATATATATATATATATATATATATATATATATATATATATATATATATATATATATATATATATATATATATATATATATATATATATATATATGTATGTATATATATATATATATATATATATAATTTCTTTATTAAATATGTCCTGAATTATGTTTAACAGATTCAAAAAATTTTCACAGTATTTCCCATAATATTTTTTCTTCTGGAGAAAGTCTTATTTGTCTTATTTCTGCTAGAATAAAAGCAACTTTTAACTGTTTAAACACATTTTAAGATCAATATTATTAGCCCCCCTTAAGCTATATTTGGTTGCGATTGAACAAAATCTACAGAACAAACCACTATTTTACAATGACCTGTCTAATTACCCTAACTTTACCCTAATTAGCCTAATTAAGCATTAAAATGTCTAAATACTAGTGTCATGAAGAATATCTGGTCAAATAGTATGTGCTGCCATCTAGGCAAAGGTAAAAGAAATCAGTCATTAGAAATGAGTTATTAAAACAGAGAGAATAAGTATGAATCAGACATCAACGTCCATCTTTTTTTTTTTTTTACACTTTATGTTTTTTTCTACAGCAGGGGTCAAGTGGTGGATGTTATCTAGGACAGAGAATAACAGGAAACAAATTAAAACAAGTTAATCTTATGTTATTTAAAGTCGGCAATGTTGTCATTAAGCTTGTCTTTGATTAGTAATGATTTAACAGCAAAAACTACAGTTGTCAACATTTGAAGTGGATCACAACCTTTCATCAAAGTTGTCTTAAAACTATTGAACAACTTCCATTCCTGTCTTAAGAGAATTATGAAAGGAATTTAGATCCACTTCAAATGTTGAGTACTGTCTACACTGCACAAATGCTTTTCTTTCTTGGAGTTTTCGTCTTATTTCTAGTCTAAATATCTACAAATCTTTTAGTCTGGAAGCATTTTATAAACACGCTAAAATATTGATTTGTTTTCAGAAATAATGAGACAAAATTAAGCGAGCTTCTCCTTAAAACAAGCTCAATATTCTGTCAATGTGGTGGGTGAGATAATCTTATTTTAATGAAAACAAGTTTATTTGTAAGTTTATTAGCTTACTTTTCACTTATTGTTTCTCAAAACAAGACATTAATTTTGCTTCTCTACAAAAAAAAGTTTCTTGATTTAAGAGTGTTTAGATATTTGGACTCAAACACAAGACAAAAACTCTCTCAGTAAGAAAAGCATTGATATAGCGCTGCTGCAAAAATCCAATACAGAACCAGAGAGATTCTGCACAATCTCTTAGAAGTGTCTCAAGACAGCTCATCTGACACTTGTCCTCCTCAATTAACCAGATGTAATCAATTTGAGTGGGCAAATGCTTACACTTGATGATGTCTGGCACTTTGGAGAGGTAATGTCAGCATTGTGAATAGAATAGTCACAATAGGGGGTGGGATTATGGTATGAGTGGATGTATGATATGAACAATAAACACATCAGCATGTTATTGATGCTATTTTAAATGCTTAGAGATCCCGTGAGGTTCATTATTGAGGAATTCATCCACAAACATGTCGCAGCATGATCATGCACGGTCACATCTGAAAATTGAAAACATCCCAGTCCTTTCTTAGCCAGCTTATTGACAAGATAATGGCACCCATTCAGCATGTTTGGGATGCTCTTGATTTGCGTATACGACAGTGTGTTCCAGTTTCAGCCAATATCCAGCAACATTGCAATGCGACGGAAAAGAAGGTGACCATACCTGCCAACATTCATCTCTGCAAATCCCGTAGACCGGGGGTGGGGGATGTCTAGGTGTCTGTACCAGTACTGTGCGGATGCATCCCAGGATGTCCTTCAAAAAAAGAGTAGGAGTTTAACCCCGGCATCCTGGCCAGGGGGGATGCCTGGCCAGTACTATGCACTGAGTTTCTGGCTGTGATCGAATCTTGTACCAAATTTGGGGGGTGTTATAAAAATGGGGGGAGGGGGGTGAAATTACAGGACTTTTTTGGGAGGAATAACATAACGAGAGATGGGTCTGAAATACGGGAGACTCCCGGGAAAAAACAGAGTATTGGATAACTACGATACACAACCTGATTGACTATGTGAGGGAGATGTGTTGTATTGTGTGACTGATAAACACGCACACACACACACGCACACACACACACACACACACACACCCCATTCCATCCTATTTACTGCTTGATATTCTTGCAGATGCTTTCAGTTTGTCTTATTCACTTCACAAACTCATACAAACACTGACAGCCTCTGAGTGACTGCAGGAGACACAATGGCATCAGGTCAGTATCACTTCATTTAATATAAAAGTTAAACGCTACAGATTAATACTATATCATTAAATTCTATACTAGTCCTGATAAATGGCAGCATCGAAACACATGTAATAATTCATTCAACATTTTTATTTTGAATAAATTCTTATTTCCAAAATCTGCTTTTACTTTGGTCACCATTACAGTGATCTGTGTTTGTTTTATTTGAGCTTTTGACTTCACGACATTAGTTTTCCTCTTGTGGTGTGATTATAAAGCCTGTTTGTTATCGGCCATAGAAATCAGATTGCATTATTTTCTGGCTGAGATCTTGTGTATTTCAGAAATTGCAGGAGTCCTGGGTGACCTCTCTGATTCCAGCTGTTGTTCAGGTGAGAGAGATCCTCAAACAAATGTGCTTTTGCTAGACTTTTGATTCGACTAGAAAGAACTGAGAGAATTCAGACAAATATGAGAGAACACACACTCATGACTGAATTATAAGCCACGTTAAATTGAGCATCCACAATAAAGTTGTATGAACTAATGAATTTTAAAAACTGTAATTATCTTCAGCTTTAATAACGCTTGTTTGTGCACATGGGTGCCTTTGTGGGTCACTTTAGATTGGCCATTTTGTGCAAGCTACATGCCAATGTATTATCATTTCAGTATTAGCAGGTTGTCTGCTTAATATTACACTGCCCAAACAACCTTCTCCTGACTTTAAGAAACTTAGCAAGTTCATGTCTACTTAAACTGACGCTAACACACTTACAGTACTCTAATGAGGATTAGTTGAAATGTGCAGGTAGTTGCAAAGTAACATACAGCTGAAGTTGGAATTATCAACCAATTAGCCACATATTTCCAATGAGCCTGGGTTGCAAATTCGAAGAGACAAATGTTTGGCTGTTTTCAGAGTGAAAGATCAAGCATACTGTGGAAAGGGTTCAGAGACCCAAATGGCACTTTGGTTATGTAGATAATAGGGGCAGTTTCCCCCACAGCAGTTTGTGCAAATAACCAGTGTTAGGGGGAACACATTACAAGTAACTTCAATTAACATAATAACATTACTATCACAAGTAATGCTTTACTTAAAAAAACACAGAATAAGTGTGGCAAGGAGGTATAGCATATGGATAAATGGAAAAGTCAAACACAGAAAGGCAAATTACCAGTGCAAGAAGCACAAATACATTTAAACTACACCACCTACTATAGTATTATTCTCCAAAGAGAAGCAATGAGACATGGAAAACTTTAGTTCTTTATTAACAATGCAATTATCTAAAGGCCATAAATAGTGTGAAACTTCCACTGAACTTCCAAGATTAAGCAAACTTCAACAGCAAGAAATAGCTACACGTTATTTTAATATTACCCAGCTAACAGGGAACGTTCCTAGAACATTCACTAACGTTTTTTAAAAGTTGTGGAAATGTTAGCACAAAACGTTATCAATAGATTGTTTTTAGAAGGGTCCATAACGTTAACGTTCTTGTAACGTTGTAAAAAAAATAAGTTCTTAGAACAAAGTTCTCTGAATGTCTTCAGAACGTTATTTGTACTTCATAAACGTCATAATGTTGATGGAAAACGTTCTTAGAATGAAGTTCTTGGAGTGTCTTCAGAATGTTATTTGTACTTCATAAACGTTGTCATAATGTTGATGGAAAAAGTTCTTAAAATGTTATATTTTTGTGAAAATTTAAGTTTTGAAAACGTTGTAACAACATTATCCTAACCATAAAAAAAGTTCTAGCAACATTAAGCAAACTGGACATTTCGACGTTCTTGAAACATTCCAAATAAACGTTCTTAGAACTTTATATTTTGGTGGAATTTTAGGTTTTAGGAACGTTGTAACAACGTTATTCTAACCATAAAAAACGTTCTAGCAACAATAAGCAAACTGGACATTTCAACATTCTTGGAACGTTACAGATAACGTTATGAGAACGTTCTTACAACCTAAATTTGTTAGCTGGGTAGTTTGAAAGTACAACTTCACTTGGTATTCGTTCTCTTAAATCTATAATGCTGTGTTCACACCAGACGCAGAAGAAGCGTGTTAAGTCAATGCAAAGGCATGAAGTCACATCTTGCGAGGGCCGGGGGTTGGGGGTCATCAAGATCTAACTGAGCTCAAACTCCCCTCTCGCCAAGCAAACGGGAGGGAGCCCAGAGCTTGAAGATGTCATAAGCTCAGAGCTCACTCCAGGGACAGCATATCAAACAAGCTTTACAATCAATCATCAGCTCAGTGTGAAACTTCCAAGAAACTTCCATGCCTTAAACATCCATGGAATGCATTACTAGATGTTGTTTCACACCCACATCTAATATGCAAATTAATCAACTTTTTACTTAATACGTAGCCTGCTACTCTTCAGTACTTTTCAAAGAGCAAAAAACAAGAACTGTAAGCATAAGTAGCCCAGGGCACATATTTCTAATGAGCTGAGGCTGCAAATTCAAAGAGACAAATGTTTGGCTGTTTTCAGAGTGGAAGATCAAGCATACTGTCGAAAGGGTTCAGAGACTCAATTGGCACTTTGGTTATGTAGATAATAGGGGCAGTTTCCCCCACAGCAGTTTGTGCAAATTACCAGTGTTAGGGGGAACACATTACAAGTAACTTGAATTAACATAATAATATTACTATCACAAGTAATGCTTTACTTCAAAAAACACAGAATAAGTGTGGCAAGGAGGTATAGCATATGGATAAATGGAAAAGTCAAACACTGAAAGGCAAGTTACCAGTGCATGAAGCACAAATACATTTAAACTACACCACATACTATAGAAACTCATATAATCACTGAGAGCCTCTGAGTGACTTTAGGAGACACAATGGCATCAGGTCAATATCAATTCATTGAATATGACACTTACAAACTACAGATTAATACTAAATAATTCAATTCCATACTAGTCCTGATGAATGGCAGCATCATAACACATGCAATAATTCAACGTTTTTATTTCAAATACATTTTTGAAATTGTTGTTTGCTAATTTCAGCTTGGCGCAAGAGTTGTTTTGATGTTTTGCACCACGCTTTTTAAATAGCAAATGCATTTGCGCTCATTTGTGCACCCATAGGCGTTCTAGTCTAAAAAGGAAGGCGTTCTGTGGCGCATTGCTAAAGCGTTGCTATTTTGAGAAACTATAATAGATTTTTCAATACACCAGAACAAAGCCCGTTTATTGTCCAGCAAGCGTCAGCGGCGCGTGAGCAGAGCGTGAGCAGCGCGTATGTCGAGCAGTAGCAGCACGCAGGCGTTTCACACCAGCTGCGTCTGCAGCGCGCAGCTCTTCGGCAGCTGCTGCAGAGATCAACCTATCTCTGTCTATTCTATCTAGTTATCCATGTCTCTCTATATACAAATACACTTTTTAAACTTTTCATCTGCACCAAGGCCCCTCCTATGCTGTTTCATTAACCGGCAAATGTTTATTGTACAAATTTTATAGATCAAATAGTGCTGTATGCTTCTCAAGCTAACTTACATGAGAAGTGTCTACAGTCAGAAGACAATCGCCTGTGATATCATGTCATTTGTTTTTTATTATCAGGTTGCTGTAGACCTAGTTATAATAATATTTATACAATATAGTTATAATGATATTTATACATGATCAAACTAGTGTTACTTTCTCCGCTTCAGTGATGTCCAGCCGCAAAATAACAGCTCGTTAATTCATGCTCGTGCAGAGGATAAGACGGACAAAAGTAACCAATGCATGTCATTCTTTTACTTGTTTTCGTGTTGTCAGATTCACAGTGCAAACAGCTCCCGGTAGGAATAACTCGAGTGAACATAAAACAAAGCCGATTAAAAATTTCTTCCTCTGCTCAGCTGCACAGAACACAGCGAGTTAACATCATCCAGCATGCGTGCCGAACTACACTACCCACAATACACTTCGCCATGGACTACAAATCCCATAAATATTCTATTTCCCCTCTCCTACAACACTAGTGTGCAACTTAAGCAAAACTGATACTAAAATTGTTTTACATTTGGTTTTGTAGTTCGGGCCTAAATAAATGTTTGTTGCCGTTTTAAATCGTTTTAAGTTAATTTGAATGACTATATATAAACCATTTGACATTATTAACGCATTTATTGGGTAAAATTGCTACTTTTTACTGTCATTCAATGTGTTTTAGTCATTATCAATGCACTGTTACTTTATTTGAGCGTGAGCAGCGCGTCAAAAATAGACTCAGCGCCGAAACTATCGCTGCACTGCTGCTTCGGCGACGTTCACGCCTCGCTCTGACGCGCTGCTGCTGCATGCGGTATGAAAACTCTAATCTGTTAACATAGACGCGGAAAACACACAGGCTGCTCACGCTCTGCTCACGCGCCGCTGATGCTTGCGGTGTGAAACAGGCGTTACACTGCTTAATTCACACAAGATGTAGAGCAATACGCAAACATCTTTACATATGAAAAAAAATATTAGATATTAAGGGTATATATAGGATATATATAGGATATATATAGGATATATATAGGATATATATAGGATATATATAGGATCTAAATATAAAGGAAAAAAAATTATTATATGAAGGATATAAAGGATTAAAATATTACAAAACATATTATTTTTTTAGCCTACATAAATATAAAAAGCATGCTTTCATGCCTTCATCTCGGGGGCTTTTTCAGTTTTTTTGTGAAAATTTGCTTTTGTATAATGTTATCATTATTAGTATGATTTATTATATCCATATTTATATTTGTTTTATTAAAAGCAAGCTTAGATTTGTCCACCTGTCAGGTTTCAGACCATATGGGGCACAGCATGTGTATTTGGATATAACTCAGTTGTTTGAGCACACTTCGTTATTGTTGTTTATTTATTTTTTTGCTGGAAATTAGAACTGAATTTAGAAATAGTTTTGACACAAATCTATGCGCCTAACAAACGGCGCAAAGCAGATTTTTCTGTCCTTTTATTAGCAAAAGTGGATTCTGACACGCCCCTGCGCTTTGCGCTTTGCACTTTGCACGTGGATTGTTAAAACAGAGCCCTAGATGTTCCATTACAGTGATCTGTGTTTGTTTTATTTGAGCTTTTGACTTCACGACATTAGTTTTCCTCTTGTTGTGTGATTATAAAGCCTGTGTGTTATTGGCCACAGAAATCAGATTGCATTATTTTCTGGCTGACATCTTGTGTATTTCAGATATTGCAGAAGACCTGGACGACGTCTCTGATTCCAGCTCTTGTTCAGGTGAGAGAGATCCTCAAACAAATGTGCTTTTGCTAGAATTTTGATTCGACTAGAAAGAACTGAGAAAATTCAGACAAATATGAGAGAACACACACTCATGACTGAATTAAAAGCCACGTTAAATTAAGCGTCCACAATAAAGTTGTATGAATTAATGAATTTTAAAAACTGTAATTATCTTCTGCTTTTATAACGCTTGTTTGTGCACATGGGTGCCTTCGGGAGTTGGGGTGTTTCATCGAGATCTACCTGAGTGTGAAACTTCCACAAAACTTCAATGCCTTAAACATCCATGGAATGCATTACTACATATTATGTTTCACACTTACATCTAATATGCAAATTAATCAACTTTTCACCGCTTAATACGTAGCCTGCTACTCTTCAGTACTTTTCAAAGGGCAAAAAACAAGAACTTTAAGCATAAGTAGCCCAGGGCACATATTTCTAATGAGCTGAGGTTGCAAATTCAAAGAGACAAATGTTTGGCTGTTTTCAGAGTGAAAGATCAAGCATACTGTCGAAAGGGTTCAGAGACCCAAATGGCACTTCGGGTATTTAGATAATAGGGGCAGTTTCCCCCACAGCAGTTTGTGCAAATAACCAATGTTAGGGGGAACACATTACAAGTAACTTGAATTAACATAATAACATTACAATCCCAAGTAATGCATTACTTAAACCAATCACAGTATAAGTGGGGGGTGTTCATCAAGACTTACCTGAGCTTAAACTCCCCTCTCACCATATAAACGAGAGGGAGCCCAGAGCTTTAAGATCTCAAAGCTCAGAGCTCACTCCCAGGACAGCATGTCAAACAAGCTTTTCAATCAATCATCAGCTCAGTGTGAAACTTTCAAGAAACTTCCATTCCTTAAACTGTGCAGTTTAGCGCCAACACTAATCAAACACCTGATCCAGCTAATCAAGCTCCTACTAGATATACTAGAAACCTCCTGGCATGTGTGTTGAAGCTGGACCTAAACTCAGGACCGAGTTTGTACACTCCTGACCTAAGGTTACTGAAGTAAAAAAAACAGGCCTGTAAAGGAACAACGTTGTCAGTCAAGATCTCCTGCACTTTGTAGAACAAATAAAATTGCTAAAAACATTTGTATTGACATAAACAGCTAATGAAGTTTCAAGGTTTTGTGATGAGCGACAATACAATCTGAAAAAACTTAAAGGTCCTGCGAAATTAAAATAACAATTATTTTAATAATTTAATCATTTAAGCTCAAGAAATAAATTATTTTTTCAAATATAGAGCTCTCTGGAGAACGTGAAAGCGCATTAAGACAACAACAAGGTTTGCCTGAGCTTGAGTCGACCATGGTTATTATATGTATATATTACTACGGAGTAATGTCACGTCTGTCCTTAAAAAAATGGCAGTTCCTTTGTTTTTATTCTCTTGCTTCTGCGAAGAGTTCAGCTGCACGTCTAGCTCCGTCTTTTGGTACCCTTTGTCGTGCTAGGTACCTTTTGCAAAGGGTGCCCAAAAAGTGATGCGGATTGCTTTTAGGTACCCTTTGACAGTGGAAACGGCCATAAAAGCGTATCGAACCATACCATACCGTACCACTTTTTGTGGACATTTTATTTCAGTGTTTCTCCTTTTTTTAGGAAAATTGTCTTCAATAAAAATGTGAATATTGAATTTATTTAACCTGTGTCAATCAACAATTACATTTTATGTGAATATTCAGTCTAATTTGTTGCATTATCCTTAATTTAAACCAGAACAAGAAGACGGTGAGAAATCTGAAGCGGTGTCTGATGAGTCTCCGACCACAAAAGGAGGCAAAGGGGTACCAAAATCTCATCAACCAAAAGGTGGTGCAAAGGTCCCTGCTAAAAAGAAAGCACGCGGTCGAAAGGGTGCAAAAAAGAAACGTCCAGGTATATATTGCCAATTAAAAATCCACGTTTCTCTACACAACTCTATACTGTATATTGTGTCTAACACAGTGCATGAGTACACCACCTTTTGAAAATAATAATTTTTTGATGTTAGTTTCAGTCTATTAGGTTTAAGGATGTTTATCAGCTAGTGTGGATTGGGGTGGGGGGGGGGGGTGTTTCATCGAGATCTACTTGAGCTCAAACTCCCCTCTTGCACTGCAAACGGGAAGGAGCCGAGAGCTTGAAGATCTCAAAGCTCAGAGCTCACTCCCAGGACAGCTTGTCAAACAATTATCACAATCAATCATCAGCTCAGTGTGAAACTTCCATGCCTTGAACTGGGCAGTTTAGCTCCAACACTAATCAAACACACCTGATCCAGCTAATCAAGCTCCTACTAGATATACTAGAAACTTCTTGGCATGTGTGTTGAAGCATGTTGGAGCTAAACTCAGCCTGACACCGGCCCTCCAAGACCGAGTTTGTACACCCCTGACCTAAGGTAAGCGATGATCATAAATAGGGGCTTATTTTAAAGTAAAAAAAAAAAAAAACAGGCCTGTAAAGAAACCCCTTATTTTCAGTCAAGATCTCCTGCACTTTGTAGAACAAATCAAATTGCTAAAAACATTTGTATAGACATAAACAGCTAATGAAGTTTCAAGGTGTTGTGATGAGCGACAATACAATCTGAAAAAACTTAAAGGTCCTGCAAAATTAAAATAGCAATTATTTTAATAATTTAATCATTTAAGCTCAAGAAATAAATTATTTTTTCAAATATAGAGCTCACTGGAGAACGTGAAAGCGCATCAAGACAACAACAAGGTTTGTCTGAGCTTGGGTCGACCATGGTTATTATAAGTATATATTATTATGGTGTAATGTCACGTCTGTCTTTAAAAAATGGCAGTTCCTTTGTTTTCATTCTCCTGCTTCTGCGAGTGACGTATCTCTGTAAACCAATAGAGTTCAGCTGCACGTCTAGCTCTGTCTTTTGGAACCCTTTGTCATGCTAGGTACCTTTTGCAAAGGGTGCCCAAAAAGTGCTGCGGTTTGCTTTTAGGTACCCTTTGACAGTGGAAACGGCCATAAAAGCGTATCGAACCGTAACATACCGTACCACTGGAAAATGGGTCATAAATAATATGTTTTTCTTTTTGTGGACATTTTATTTCAGTGTTTCTCCTTTTTTTTTTTTTTTTAGGGGAATTGGCTTTGATAAAAAATGTGAATATTGAATTTATTTAGCCAGTGTCAATCAACAATTACTTAGTAAACTGCTTTGCACCCATTTTATGTGAATATTCAGACTAAATTGTTGCATTATCCTTAATTTAAACCAGAACAAGAAGACGGTGAGAAATCTGAAGCGGTGTCTGATGAGTCTCCGACCACAAAAGAAGGCAAAGGGGAACCAAGATCTGATCAATCAAGTGATCCTGCACAGGTCCCTGATAAAGAGAAAGCACGCCGTCGAAAGGGTTCAAAAAAGAAACAACCAGGTATATATTGCCAGTAAAAAATCCACTTTCCTCTACATAACTCTACAGTATATTGTATATTGTGTCTAATACAGTGCATGAGTACACCACCTTTTAAAAATAACAATGTTAATTTAGTCTGTTGGGTTGAAGGATGTTTATCAGCTAGTGTGCTCTAAAACAGTGACAAAAGGCACGTTTAGAAGATCTAAATCTGATATAAATATCCAAAGCTTGCAGTTTGTCACTTATGCCTAAATGAATCAATGATTTTTGTTGATGTCATCTCCGTTTAAAATCTTCTGACCAATCAAATGCTCCCAGTATGTGACATGCCGGCTCCGTCTAAAAAACTTTTCATTTGCTGTGAGAATACCAAACTCTATTGCAGATGTCACCAAACTTGTTCCTGGAGGGCCGGTGTCCTGCAAATTTTAGCTCCAACCCTAATCAAACACACCTGAACAAGCTAATCAAGGTCTTACTAGGTATACTTGAATCATCCAGTTGTGTCGAGGCCAGTAGGAGCTAAACTCTGCAGAGACACCGGCCCTCCAGGACCGAGATTGGTGACCCCTGCGCTATTGGCTGTTTTTTTAAAAGGGAGGGGCTACTCTACTATTCATGTACGGAGATTACACCAAACATTAAATTAAAAAATGCCCATTTAAAAGCACTTCACAGGACCTTTAGTAGACTTTTAAAAATGTAAAGGGCCATGAAACGGGTGTTTTCACACCTTTAGTTTAAAAAAGTCAGGAAAGTGGGTCCAGCTCTGTTTAGGTGAGAGTGTCGAGTGGTGAAAGAGGTAAGGGCTTGCATAAAAATGGGAGTTTTCGGTTCGGTTTTTCATACTGGCAATACAAACAGACCCAGACAGGGGCTCTTTACATGGACATCAGTGATCAAATTATTTGCCAAATTCTTAATTTGTCAACTTTGTCAATAGTATTTTCATTTTCATTCAGAAACATTTCCTGCATGCCCCCTATGACAAACAAGATATTTGATGTGAGGAATTGCTTTCAGAGTGTAGTTTTAATGCAATGTGATACCGCATGCTGTGTAGGAAGAAAAAAAAAAACCTCTGCATTTCTCGGTAACTTAGATGTACTCTCTAGGTAACGTCAAAAAAACATATGTATAGACTATCCAGTCACAAAATGAAAATCCTACACGACGGTAATAGTTTGATTGCGGTGTTTACTAGTTTACACTCGGAGAGCAGCGATTACAAAGAATCTTTGGTCCATAATATTGTAGTGATATTAAAGTACTGAAAACTTAGTGACTAAATCATTGAGACTAAGGTCTTTCTATACTAACTAAAAGAACGACAAATCCAGATCTGACCATTTGCAGATGCGAAAAGCTCTAGGGTAAAAAAATGTTCCTTACAAACATATTTCTGTTGCATGTTAGCAGACCATTGTAATCCACATCTGAGTCCAGCTGCACTCTCATAGCGGGGAAATGAAAACAACACTCTTGTTGCAGCACATTTACAAACAACACTGACGACCCGTGTCTCCAAACAATTCTTTTTCTTCCGTCTGAACCCTGTAACAGGTAAAAATAGTCTTCAGAGCTTTCATGCATATTAATGAAGTTGCGCCTCATACACAATAGAGCGCGCTTATTGGTGGTCTGAAAAGACTTGGAAGCCTTTCTCATGAATTATTGCTGAAAGACGTCACGTTGTACCCGCCGGTACAAACAGCCAGTCTACATGCTGATATTCAGACAAGGATCTAATCGCCGTGACGTTGCTTCAACATTTATTTTCAAACCAGAGGAACGAACTTGCTCGAAATAACGCAAAAACAACCAATTTTCACTTGTTAGTGAGATATACATGTCCTAATAGTGTTTACACACATATATGACTGTCAGCATCTCAAATAATCTGTTTTGGTGTTTAGTGACCCATGAAATAATACATAATTACACTGATAGCAATTTGATGCATGTAGTCTAATACAGTGTTTCTCAACCACATTCCTGAAGGACGAGCTCTGCACATTTTCCAATCACACCTGATTCAGATCTCAGCTCATTAACAGAGACTGGAATACCTGTACTGGGTGTGACAGACCAAGGAGACATCTAAAAGATGCAGTGCTGGTGGTCCTCCAGGAACGTGGTTGAGAAACACTGCTCTAATAGGCACTGCAAATAAACCTTTGAATGTTGGATTTAATTAAACTGTTTTGAATCGTACTGTAAAATTTTAGAAGCAGACCATGATGAAGATAAGGACGAAGAAGATGAGGACGATGATGATGACAGTGATCATGATAGAGTGGTGTATATTGGAGATAATCAGGATGAGGCCAATGGTAAGTATATGAATGAACACAAATGATCAACAATCTGTCATGTTTGTGAATCTGAATGTACCTTCATGTCCAGTGTGTTCAGTTATAAGCAAACAGCTGCTCACCTTCAGTGTAAAATGTGTACATTTGTTAAATGAATAGAACACATTTTTGAGAAACAAACAAACAAACGATTTCAGCTCCACTTAAGAGTTTTGTATTTTCTTTTTTTGTGAAATTTATTGGCAACTTCAGGAAGAAAAGTTTAAAGCTTGTCTGATTGTGAGGGTTTCTTAGGAATCGACATGAAACAATGGCCCATTTCCACTGAGTGGTACAGTATGGTAGGGGTTGGTCACCTTCATCAGGCTTGCATTTCGACTGTCAAAAGGGTACTAATGAGTGGGCGTGGTGTGACAAAGTTTTAGACAGTGTCATTTTTACTCAAGAAAATGTCTACAGTAAAGCTGTACGGGCCATTCCAACCAACACAATCTCACGGCAATTCGTAACTTTTTCATTTAGTGGCTAATTCGTATGAATTCGTACGATCTAATTTGTACAATTTAGTACGATTTGCTCATCCCCCAATGACGGTTGGGGTTAGGGGTGGGGTCAGGTGCCACGCCTCCTTTTTAAAATCATACCATTTCGTACGACTGAACTCGTACGAATTAGCCACTAAACTGGCAAAACGTAAAATACTTACGTTTTCTCGTGAGATCAGGCTGTTCCAACACAATCTCACAGATATTTGTAACTTTTTCATTTAGTGGCTAATTCGTAAGAATTCGTACGATCTAACTGGTACAATTTAGTACGATTTGCTCATCCCCCAATGACGGTTGGGGTTAGGGGTGGGGTTAGGTGCCACGACTCCTTTTTAAAATCGTACCATTTCGTACGACTGAACTTGTACGAATTCGTACGAAATAGCCACTAAACTGGCAAAACGTAAAATACTTACGTTTTCCCGTGAGATCAGGCTGGCCGTTCACATATAAAGCGAGAATAAATATTCATTACTAACCTTTCCATTAACAGAATTTGATTATAACTGCAGTGCGAAATTGTCTACTGTAACGTCTGCAATTTATATAAAAATAAATAAATGCTACATATATGAACACATACAGACCCTTGCAGTCTCCGATATGATACCAATTACAGAAAAACTACACACAGCATACATTTAGTCCTTATTTGGGTTCAAAAACGACATGAAATTGATGGGTTGCAGCTGGAAGGGCATCCACTGTGTAAAACATATGCTGGATAAGTTGGCAGTTCATTCCGCTGTGGCAACGGCAGATTAATAAGGAGACTAAGCTGAAAAGAAAATGAACGTATGAATATTAATTTGGCGTACTATACTTTTAAACAGTGATCTTCAGGTCTGTTGACAGATCAGTTCCAGTTTTGTCTTTGGTACTGACTGATCTAATGTAACACATATATTACTGTAAAGCAGTGTTTCTCAACCACGTTCCTGGAGGACCACCAGCTCTGCACATTCTCCATGTCTCCTCAACTAAACACACCTGATTCAGATTATCAGCTCAGTAGCAGAGACAGAAAGGCCTGTACATGCAGTGTTGGTGGTTCTCTAGGAGCGTGGTTGAGAAACGCATGCTGTGAAGTATCCTATTGAAATTTTCAACATAAACGAGAGATCTGTGAACTCAATTATGCTGAGCGCTAAATATAAACTCACTGCTGTTGTGTTTACATCATGCTTTTAGCAGCCAAATGTAAAGAAGAGGAGATGCGCGCTGAGGAAGAGAACCAAAAACAGTGGAAGATGGCGAAGAAGGTGATGCTGGGAGCTGGTGTGGCAGCAGTAGTGGTGGGTGGTGCGGGTTTAGCGGTGGCTACAGGAGGAATGTCCATACTCGCCAAGCTTGCACTTGCTGCAGGTATAGGTGCAGCAAAACAATACAGAAACAAGAGCATTAAAAAAGCGAAAGAAAAAGAGAAAGAAAAAGAGAAAGAAAAAGAAAAGGAGAAAAAATGAAAAAAAATTTATTACTGTAAACATTTACTGCAGTAAATTTTGAACAACTGGGAAATAGGACATACTAGTTTTATGTATGACATGGTTTAATTTGACCACATACAGTTGAAGTCTGAATTATTAGCCTCCCTGTATTATTAACCCCCCCTGATTATTTTTTTGCCCTATTTCTGTTAAACGGGGAGCAGATTTTTCAACACATTTCTAATCATAATAGCTTTAATAACTCATCTCTGATAACTGATTTATTTTCTCTTTGCCATGATGACAGTAAATAATATTTGACTAGATGTTTTTCAAGACACTTCTATACAGCTTACAGTGACATTTAAAGGCTTAACCAGGTTAATTAGGTTAACAGGCAAGTTATTGTCTAAAAAATGGCTTGTTATGTAGACTATCGAACAAATATTAAAAGGGCTAATAATTTGACCTTAAAATAAAAAAAAAAGTAAAACTTCTTTTATTCTTGCCGAATTAAAACAAATAAAACTTTCTCCAGAAGAAAAAATATTATCAGACATACTGTGAAAATTTTCTTGCTCTGTTAAGCATCATTTGGAAAATGTATTTAAAAAAGAGGAAACAATTTAAAGTGGGGCAAATAATTCTGACTTCAACTGTACATCATGTTGAATTACACGTATATGAATGCTCTGTGTGTACGAAACACAAAAAGCTTTTAGTTTTGATAATATTGTGGTGGTTTCCTGAACAGAGACTAGTTTGTGTCCGCTTTAAACACAGTATATATGTGTGTTGTATGTGTTTTTTTAATTCAGCTGTCTCATAACAGATCAAAGCATATGGCTGTTTTTAATTTGTCACATTCAGCACTGGTTAGGTTGTATTCATTTCTGCTTTATGTACAGTAACATGAGGTGGTAGTTCTGATTCTTCTCTGTCTCCACAACAATGTTGATCCATATTATTTGTTTCAATTAAAAATATATATTAAACAGCAGCAAGTGTGTTGTCCTTTTACTGAAGAAATGATCTACACTGAAACAAAAAGAGTTTTGCAAAATTGTTTCAAACAATTAATATGGACTGAATTGAAACAAGCAAACTAAACAAATTAAGTTGAGCAATATTCAATATAAATTCAGCCCATATAAAATGTTTTCAACCGTGTACCTTAGGAACTTTAATAAATCCAATGAATCATTTTATCCAGTGTATATCTATTAAGAACCATGACAATATACAATCACTGGCCACTTTATTAGGTATGTCTTACTAGTACAAGGGGTTGCCTTCAGAACTGCCTTAATCCTTCATGGCATAGAGTCAACAAGGTACTGGACATACTCCTCCTCAGAGATTTTGCTCTATGTTGACATGATAGCATCACACAGTTGCTGCAGATTTGTGAATCTCCTATTCCACCACATCCCAAAGCTGCTCTATTGGATTGAGTTCTGGTGACTGTGCAGGCCATTTGAGTGCAGTGAACTCATTGCCATGTTCAAGAAATGATTCATGCTTTATAGCATGGTGCATATGTAGTACTGAAATTAAGTTTTTACATCCTACAGTTTCAGAAATGAAGGTACGCGGTCTGTCACTGTAGTGGTGTTTCTTTAAAAGGCACACATTTGTACTTTAAGGGTCCATATTGGTATCTCAAAAGTATATATTGGTACCTAAATGTTTTAAGAGGAACGCTGTTGTACATCTTAGGTACTAATATGTACCCTTGAGATATTAATATGGACCATTTAGATACAAATGTGTGCCTTTTGAAAAAGGTTCCACCCCATTGACAGCTCACGTACCTTTATTTCTAAGATTGTAGGTCGGGAGTGTCCACATACGTGGACAGCACATTTTTAGCTCTTAAGTGGCTATTTAAAATACTTTATAAATGTTTTATGTTTTGTTACAGACATACAGTGTTTTGCAGCATATGAAATGTTCCAAACCTTATGTTTAACTGTCCAAAATGGGCAAAAATAGTCCAATAGTCCAAAAAAAAAAAAAAAAAAAAAAAAAACCTAAAACCTTTAATGTTAAAAAAATAAAAATAAATAAATAAATAACATTTTTAATTTTTTTTTAAATCGGGAAAAAGTGTAAATTGGCATCATGGGTCCACATCTATGGACATCATTTTTCTCTAAAAGTACATCATATAAAAGATGATTTTTTTCTAATTAGGTTACAATAATCCCATACAGCAAAGAGAAATAAAACATACATGTAAAAAAAAAACACTAAGCCTTAAGAGGTTAAAGAAGAAAGAAATAAAACACTGCAGACAAGCGCTCTCATTACTTAGTAATAGTAATATATATATTAGTAATACTATATATATATATATATCACAGATGATTCAATACACAATACATTACATCATGAATAACCAAATGGTTAAATGAAATGATCACACAATTATCATTAACCTGACATCTTGACTCATTTATTAAATGAAATATCATCACATTAATCAATTAGTGAATCACTTAGGCCCAATTCTGTTTCTGTACCCGTACCCCTTCATCCTTAAAACTAAGTGTAGAGGGGAATGTCTTCAAAATGTACCCCTAAGAATTGGAACAGCACTACCGTATGTAGATTAGCTTTAAATCTGAAGCTTTTTCGTATGATCATTAATAACTGTTAAATGATCATTTTCTAGATCTTTCTATTGTGACGTAACAAAAAATGTGACGATACAATACAGGTACAACCCTCCCTACTCTACAAGAACTGTACTTATCCAAAGTGAGCAGAAGGGCTGCCAAAATCCCTCTGGACCCCTCCACTGCCTTTTCGAACTGTTACCTTCTGGTCGACGCTACAGAGCACTGCGCACCAGAACAGCCCGACACAGAAACAGTTTCTTCCCTCAGGCAATCCATCACATGAACACTTGAGGATAGTAATTGTGGAACCAACATGACTACTTGCTATACACTTTTTATACACATTATAAACTTATTTAACAACACACTTTATACACATATAACACATATAACGTTGTATATAGAAATCTAGCTCCCCATACACTTGTCTATTTGTATATTTGCAGTATGTGTGGACAAAGTCACCACTGGGCGGAGGGAAATTAGGATGATTCTAAGGGCCCATGCCATTTAGGGGCCCGCAGAAATTCTGTTAGGGGCCCACCAGAACTACTATTCTCTTCTTTTTTTAAATTTTTTATTCAATGCTTGCAAAAACAATAACAACAAATGTCATGAATCAAACAGCAACAATCCAGGGGTTTTTAGTCACTTAGTCCAAGATAAGTGCCAAGTTCTTAATCAAAGTCCTCGTTCGAATTGCTTTTAAGTTGGTTGATCCTTCAATACACTCAAAATACATTTTCATTTCAATTTTAAATTTAGGGAAAAAAGGTTTACACTTACAAAACTTGCTCTTGTGAATATGAAATTTGGCCAACAAAAAAAACAAGGTTCATGAAATAGGTATTATTTTCCTTTTCACAATCATGGAAACCAAAGATAACATTCTTATATGTAAATTCAAAATCTGCCTTCACATAAACTTTTATAAAATCAAGAACATCACACCAAAATGTCATTGAATGAGGGCAAGTCCAAAATAAATGTACAGACGTCTCAGGATTCACTAAGCAAAATGAACAGTTGGTGTTAATATCATTCTTAAGTCTTTTAAGATTACACTTGTAACCACCATGCTCTTCACTTTTTGCAACACCCACAAAATGTTGTCATAGGGCCTGTACCAGCCAGCAGCGCCCCTGTGTGTGAACATACCCGGCAATAAAGCTCTTTCTGATTCTGATCTTTGTTTTCACCCCCCCCCCCCCCCCCCCAACAAACACACACACACACACACACACACACCCCATTCCATCCTATTTACTGTTTGATATACTTGCAGATGCTTTCAGTTGTCTTATTCACTTCACAAACTCATACAAACACTGAGAGTCTCTGAGTGACTGCAGAAGACACAATGGCATCAGGTCAGTATCACTTCATTTAATATGACAGTTAAACGCTACAGATTGAAATTATTTAATTAAATTATATCCTAGTCCTGATGAATGGCAGCATCGAAACACATGCAATAATTCAACATTTTTAATTATAATAACATCTAAACAGAGGCTAGATGTTTTTTTCCACAATCTACTTTTACTTTGGTCACCATTACAGTGATCTGTGTTTGTTTTATTTGAGCTTTTGACTTCACGACATTAGTTTTCCTCTTGTTGTGTGATTATAAAGCCTGTTTGTTATTGGCCATAGAAATCAGATTGCATTATTTTCTGGCTGAGATCTTGTGTATTTCAGAAACTGTAAAAGACCTGGACGACGTCTCTAAATCCAGCTCTTGTTCAGGTGAGAGAGATCCTCAAACAAATGTGCTTTTGCTAGACTTATGACTAGAAAGAACAGAGAATTCAGACAAATATGAGAGAACAAACACTCACTTTCTCTTGGGGTGTTTCATCGAGATCTACCTGAGTGAGAAACTTCCAAGAAACTTCAAAACCTTAAACGTCCATGGAATGCATTACTAGATATTATGTTTCACACCCACATCTAATATGCAAATGAATCAACTTTTCACTGCTTAATATGTAGCCTGCTACTCTTCAGTACTTTTCAAAGGGCAAAAAATAAGAACTGTAAGCATAAGTAGCCCTGGGCACATATTTCTAATTAGCTGAGGCTGCAAATTCAAAGAAACAAATGTTTGGCTGTTTTCAGAGTGAAAGATCAAGCATACTGTCGAAAGAGTTCAGAGACCCAAATGACACTTTGGTTATGTAGATAATAGGGGCAGTTTCCCCCACAGCAGTTTGTGCAAATTACCAGTGTTAGGGGGAACACATTACAAGTAACTTGAATTAACATAATAATATTACAATTCCAAGGAACGAGTAAATTAATGCTTTACTTAAACAATTACAGTATAAGTGTGTCAAGGAGGTATAGAATAAGGATAATTGGAAAAGTCAAACACAGAAAGGCAAATTACCAGTGCAAAAAAGCACAAATACATTTAAACTACACCACATACTATAGTATTATACTCCAAAGAGAAGCAATGAGACATGGAAAACTTTAGTTCTTTATTAACAATGCAATTATCTAAAGGCCATAAATAGTGTGAAACTTCCACTGAACTTCCAAGATTAAGCAAACTTCAACAGCAAGAAATAGCTACACGTTATTTTAATATTAGTTTGAAAGTACAACTTCACTTGGTATTAGTTCTGGTAAATCTGTAATGCTG